GCTTTTTTTCTGGGTTCTTGTTGCATGGGATATTGTTTTCCATCCCTTGACTGTGAGTTTGTTTTTGAATTAAGTGTGTTTCTTGTGTGCAGCATATTGTTGAATCTTGCTTCTTGATCCATTCTGCCAATCTGGTTTTTTTTATTGGTGAATTGACACTATTAACTTTGATGGTCATAACTGATATGTATTGTCCTATCTCTGTCATGTTATTTTCTTGCTGTTGGCTTCCTTCTTTCCTTTTGCCTAAGTACCAGATTTTAATTTATGTGTTTCTAAGAATGTATCTACTAAAATTTATTAAATCATGATTTTCTTACATGTTATTGTCGAGTGAGCAGCTGTGGCAGGGTAGAGGATGAATGATTGCTCTGAGATGAGACTTAGTTCATTCGCTGAGATACGCAGGACTGTATCAACCAAGAGCACCCAGCATTAGCAGAACTCTCTGGAGAACCCTCAAAGCCAAGAACTCTCCAGCCTTAATTTAGAATGTCATTGTAAGTGAAAAACAAAACAAAGTAAACAAACAAACTAATGTAAGCAAGGAGCTGGCTCAAGGCTAGGCAGTATGGTGAAAGAAGGACAGTTGTGCCAGACACAACATGCCCCAGTAATCTAAGCTTCTTGGCCCCAGGGATTTAGCTCAGCGTTTCGGTGGCCTGCCTTGCAAGCTCAAGGACCCAAGTTCAATCCCCGGTACCAAAAAAATAATAAATAAATAAATAAATAAACGTCTAGTTTAACCATTCACTTCTCATAGAATCTGTATGCTTTTGCCATGCAGTTTAAGTATTTACTCCTTAGCCACTTCCACCATGTATTATGTCTTCCTGTATCATTGGTATGCCAGGAACAATGGTGTGCACCTGTTGTAATCACAGCAGTCTGGAAACTGGTACAAAATCAGCTAACTCTCATGGCTTGGCTGGGGCACATATTGCTGCCCTTTTTGAAATATTTAAATAGATTGCATATTTATTTCTTACTTTCTTTTTGTGTTTTAGCATTATACCTTTCTTATTATGACTCTTTATCTTGCTATCTTTCCAATATATTGATTTCTTTTTTCTTATTTATTGGTTGTATATTTTGGATGGAAATGTTTTGCTAAACATTTCTTAAATGCTGTATATACAAATGAACATTTTTTTCAAACTTTGACATTTACTAAAATTATAAACTATATTTCTACATTGATTTCATAGTTCACTATTGAAGCAGTAGATTATTTCATAGTATACTTTGCAGCAAAAATACAAATTGTTTTTTGTCTTGTTGATCTACCTATTTGTGTTAGTGGGATATTGAGGTCCCCCACTACTGTTGTATTAGTGCTTATATGATTCTTCATATCCATTAGTAATTATTTTGTATAGTTGGGCACACTTGTATTTGGTGCATATATATTTATGTTTGTCATCTCCTCCTCTTGGATTGTTCCCTTTATAAGGATATAGTGTCCTTTGTCTGTCTTGATCAGTGTTGGTTTGAAATCCACTTCATCTGCAAAGAGCATAGCTATTCCTGCTTTTTTTGGGTTTTGCTCTGGTCCACACTGGCCTGAAATCACTTTCATACATTATGAAATCCTTAATATTTAATCAAGCTTTTAATTTGAAGTGTGTCACTTAAAATTTGTAATTTAATGTCTTAATTCTTAGGAATATTTTAAATGTTTCTGTGATTCATTTCTAATTTTATTCCAGTATTTTGTAAGATGTTTCTTTGCCTGAGTTCCATTCCTTTTAAGACATTATCTTCTTTGTTGTTGCTATGAAAATGTTCTTGTTTTTGTGGTTCTGAGAAAGACTGTCCACCATGCAGTTTTGTGCTAAAAATTATTTAATATCCCATAAATTCCTTTGAATATATTGTTGATGTTAATTGTTACATTACAGATTTTTCTGCCTTCTTCACCTGCCAATTACTGATGGAGTTGTTTTGAAGTCCTATGACATACTTTTTTTTTTTTTTTTTTTTTTTTTTCCCGGGTTTTAATGGTGCCTTTT